TCAGAAATTTGTTTGTGTTCACCAGATCATGTACTACCATGTGATGTATACGTACAATGGAATATTATTCAAATTTAAAAGGAAGAAAATTCTGACATGTGCTGTAACATGGATGAACCTTGAACACAGTAAGCTAGGTGAAATAGGGTAATTACAAATATATATATATATATATATATATATATATATATATATATATACTTTCACTTATATGAGATGCATTGAATAGTCAAATCCAAAGAGATAGAAAGTAGATGGGAGTTGCCAGGGACTAAGTGAAGGGAAAGGAGAAATTGTTTTTTAATGAGTATAGAGTTCCAGTTTTGTAAGATGAAAAGAATTCTGGAAATTAGTTATAGAACAATGTGAACATACTGTTAGAAGAATAACTTCAGAAGATTAAGTTTAACAGAGTTGATTTGAGAAATGAACAATTCATGAATCAAGCAGCACTCCAAACCAGGAGAGGTTTGGAGAGCTCCTTCTAGTAGCATGAACAGTGAGCTTTTACAGGCAGAATATAGAAACCAAATAGAAACATCATCTGACTGGCTATAGCTAGGCATTTGCCTTATTTGTGCACGGTGTGATTAAGCATTTGCCTTAGTTGGGTATGTGCCAATCAAGTGGCCGCTTGTGAGTTGCCAAAGTTTGGCTGTTTATGATTGGCTGAAACCTTGCTAATTGTTATATATTGCTACTATATATATGATATTTCTAAATTAGGTTTAAGTTTGTTTATATGTTAGATTAGGTTGCAATTTGTTAGAGACTAGCTTAATGTTCAGAGATAGCCTTGGGGCAATGGCTTGCTGATTATATATTTTATTAGCACTTAATTCCATGAAGCTATACACTGAAAGATGGTATATTTTTGGTATGTGCTTTTAACCACAATCTAAATTTTAAAGAATGTCTAGAATGTTTAGAGTACTATAATTCATAATAGCCAGAAACTGGGCACCAATCAACTATCCTTCAATAACAAAATGGGTAAATTAACTATTTGCCAATAGAATTTTTTATGAGAAATGAATGGTTTATGATGTGAACAATATGAGTGCATATTATAAACACAATGTTAGGCTGCAGAAATAGACAACAGGTTAGAGCCCATCTCTTCTAAATGATTTCATTTATTTAAAGCACAAAAACAGCCAAAACTCTCCAGTGTTGTTAGAAGTCAGAATCGTCTTCACCTTTGGGGTAGTTCCTGAAAGAAAGCCAGGTGGGAGTGAAGGGTATTTCTGTGTTGTCATGTTGTTTCAGGTAAAAGGTTTTTATAATATAAATCACTGTTTAAACAATATGTTTCTAAAATTTCTATGTCCTCTCAAAAGAAAATAAATCTCAGACAGGAGGTAAGAGGAGTCAGAAGTTCACCCTCCTGCCTATGGGCAATAGACCTCTACAGGAGTCAAGACAATGAAAGGAGAATCTGTACGTAAGTGATTAACTAAAATCAGGATATCTTAGAATTGCTTAATATTCAGTAAATAGCCTACAGTATACAGATTACCTACTTCCTCATCAAATTATCATTCATCTAGGAGTACCAACAAGAAAATATGTTTAACAATTAAAATTCTATGGTAATTTCACACTCAGCAATGCCTTGTGTTCATAATTTCAATATTAGATCTGATTGAATATGATTAAATATGGCCTGTGCTTTCCAAAACGGGTTACATGATGGATTTCAATGAACTCATTAGTAGCTAATGCTGTAGAGATCTTTCTAAATGCTAATGTTTAGCAGCCTTTGGCTCATTAATTAATTTAAAGATTTGTAATTATCACAGCTTTTGATTCAAGTACAGCTACCACTTTTTATTATTGGGAAATGCTTATTTGTATCTAAGGATTAAAATTATGTCATCCAAAGAAATGTAGTATTTATTTGGAAAGGATAAAAGAAAAATAGGAAGAGGATATTCTCTTGAACACATGAAAAGCTGGAACCTCTACAAATGCTTGTCACCGAAATATGAGTAATGAATACAAAAGCAGAGATGGAAAGGAATCAACTATCTGGAAGTAATGAATAAAATATGAAACTAAACACAGTGCATGGGACACAAAGGAGGGTCTGGTTTTATTCAAAATTAGCCCCATCCTAAAAATCTAACCAAGGGAAAATCCAAGCTGATGTGATACCATAAATTCTAAATCATTGAGTCATCTTTCAAAGGACCTATAATCATCCAGGGTTGTTAGAAAATTAGAACTAGAAACACAATTAGAAACTTTTGGGCACTTGTTTTGTTTCATAATCGGGGTGATTTATATCCTATATTCCTCCTCAGTCACTGTCAAGCAGAAAAATCAACACACAAAAATCTATAGTGTTCTTGTACACCAATGATAAACTCACCAAGAAAGAAATTAGAGAAACAATGCCTTTCACAATAGCAACAAGGAAAATTAAATACCTAGGAATTAACCTAACTAAGGAAATGAAAGACCTCTACAATGCAAACCACTGTACTTTGAAAGAGATCCAAGAGGACATCAGGAAATGGAAAGATATCCTGTTCCTGGATAGGGATTCCCAATAGAATCAAAATGGCCATACTTCCAAAACAGATATGTAGACTTAATGCAATCCCAGTCAATTACCAATATACCAAATACTTTTCAGAACTAGAAAAAATAATCCTAAAATTCTCTCTACAAGAGACCTAGAATAGAAAAAAGCAAATCAAGGAACAAGAACAAGGCAGGAGAAATCACAACTCTGGACTTCAAGTTATACTACAAAACTACAGTGCTAAAAACAGCATGGTACTAGCAAAAAGAAAAAGCAAAAACAACAACAACAAAGAGAATAGAAAATGCAGAAATGACTCCAAGCATGTTCAGCTACCTGATCTTTGACAAAGAGGCCAAAAACTTATGCTGGAGGAAAAATAGCACCTTTAACAAATGGTACTGGGAAAACTGGCTATGTAGAAGATTGAATCCAGACCCGTATCATTCACCACATACTAAGCTAAAATCAATCACAGATCTAAATGTTAAAGCAAAAACAATCTGCTGGAAAATAAAATAGGTAAAACATGTGAAGATACAGACATGGGCAAAGACTTTCTGAACAGAACCCTAATTGCACAAGAGATAACACCAAAAATCAACTAATGGGATCATATCAAATTCAAAAGCTTCTTCACAGCAAAGCAAACAACCAATAGGGTGAAGAGATAATCTAAAGAATGGGAAAAAGTTTTGCCAGCTATTCTTCAGACAGAAGACTAACATCTGGAACATAAAGAACTCAAAAAAAGTTAGACCCTCCACAAAAAAGTTATCCAAAAGACCTAATCAAAATGGGCAGGGCTCAGTGGTTTCACCACCTTGCAAGCGTAAGGACCTAAGTTCGATCCCCAGTACCAAAAAAAAAGGGCAACTGAAATGAACAGATACTTCTCAGAAGTATAAATTGCCAAAAAAAAAAAAAAAGAAAGAAAAAATGTTCGACATCTCTGACCATTAAAGAAATGCAAATTTAAACAACACTGGGAGTCCATCCTACTCCACAAAGAATGGGTATCATCAAAAAATCAGGTAACAACAAATGCTGGTGAGACTGCCAGAGGGGAAAAGGAACCCCTATATATTGTTGATGAAAATGTAAACTAGTAAAATCACTATGGAAATCAATATGGAGATTCCTCAAAAATCTAAAACTAGAAATTCCATTTGACCCAGCTATTTCCATCCTAGGTATCTTCCTGAAAGAGTTGAAGACATTACATTACAGTGATATATGCCTATCTATGTTTATAGCAACACAATTCACAATAGCTAAATCTTAGAAGCAGCCTATATAACAGATGAATGGATAAAGAAAATGTGGTGTTTATGTACAATGGAGTAATACTCTGCCATAAAGAAGGACAAACTTGAGTCATTTGTAGGGAAATTAGTGCATTTTGAGACCATATTGTTAAGCGAAATAAATAAGACACACAATCTTAAATATAGCATGTTTTCTCTTACATAAGAAACCCAAGATAAATATAAAGAGCAAAATAAAAGATAGATAATTGGAAAAAAAGAAAAGAAAGAGATATAGGGGGAGAGAGGGTAGGCTAAAAAATACAACTGGGAAGGAAGGAAGAGAAAGGGGACGAAAGAAATAAGATGTGTTAGGTACATGTACCAGCTCCTCACAATGAATATAATCATTATGCACTGCAAACATGTACTAGTAAAATATTCTTTAAAAAGGAGACAGAAGCACCCAGAGAAAAAGGAGAAAGGAAACTGGAAAGTGTTTTGGTAGATCCCTATGATCTCAGTTTTTAAGAAATCTTGTTGCAAATGAGGGTGGTACAGTAGCTACAGAATTGTGAAAAGGAAACAAATATTCTTTACAAATGACCGGGTTTACAGGCATCACAACATTGTAAGTGTGCAGCCCACACAGGAAGACATTTGTGAGAGGATTTTAACCAAAGAGAGAGCCAGCAGAAGCAGGATTTTAAGTGCTGTCTTCTCACTAATTTTTGGTACATGTTGGAGGGTTTGGGGTTTTATAGTAGATCTCACATCGATATTTTCTATTATGCTTACAAATTACATAGCTATGCAGAAGGAATAACCAGAAAGTGAAGGTTTCTCTGAACAGAATCGGCCTGAAATCTCTTGATCCAGACACAAGAACCAAGATAAGTAAATTGTTAGAGGTGGGCCAGGAGCCCTCACTAATGATATGGCAGGGAGGAGGAGGAGGAGAAGGAGGCGGCAGACTGAGGTACACTCTGTCAGAACCACTTGAGCTGTTTGCTTTCTGCCAAGGCCGGTGGCCAGGAAGAAAAGCTGACAGCTCTACAAGTGATCAGTGCCTACTGTATGCGAACACTGTTCTGTGTCGTGGGGATTCAGTGAACAAGACCAAGAAGGTACCTATTCTTATGGAGCTTACATTTTGGAGGAGGAAGACACATAAACCAAGGAAATAAACAAGATAATTTCAGATAGTTTGTGATAGTGGGAAGATGGAAGAGTATGAAGAGTTCTGTGAAAAAACTTGCCCAAATCCAAGAAGCATCACTGTCCACAGAGAGCTTTCTGCCCGCTCAGTCTGAAAGAATCTCGCTGATTTGCTTCCATGGACTGGCTGTGCTTTCTCCACTGCTTAGTATTGAGAAGAGAAAGGAAAGGCAACAAGAAAAACAGAAAACACTCAATGTAGAGGCAAGGAAGCAGGTTAATAGGAAGAAAGCTTTATTGACTCGTGTCCAGGAGATTCTTGAAAATGTCCAGGTTGGAAAAGCACATAAAGCCAGTGATTTTGATCAGTGGGAGGCCAGAACAGTTTACTCCAATTCAGAAGTCAGAAACTTGAATGTTCCTGCTACATTTCCAAATAGCTTCCCAAGCCCTACTGAACACTCTACTTTAGCAAAGTTTGAAAAGACAACCAGGGTTTCACCCATTGATAACGAGCACCAACAGAATCCTAATGGGATAGAGTTAGCTAGAGATACAGAAGGATTTAACTCTCCAGAGCAATGTGATAATTCAAATAGTAGTCAGGGTGAAACTGAAACATCTCCAAAGTTCTCCTCAGAGACACCAAAAGGAACTCTCATTTCTGAGGGTCTGGTCTCAAGGGCTGAAGAACCCATCAGTTTTGTTAGAAGTCACCCTGGACCCCTATGTAATGAGTCTTCAGAACCTGATGAAAAAGTCAAAGGAATATATAGAAAGAGAACGATCTGGGTGCAGCCTGAGAAGCAGTGCAAGGAGGAGCATCAACGAGAGTCCCTCAGACAAGGAAAATGATGCTGCTACAGTGAGCGAGTGTGTGAAGGAGAAAGCCCCGCTGACTGGCAAACGCTGTGGCTTGGCGATTCCTGATAAACTAAGCCTTAATAAATCAAATGTTCTTCTCCAAGGAGCTTCCTCTCAACCAGGCAGCAGGAATACATCCGTTTTAGCTAGCTTTTCTAAAGTAGATGTTCCTGTCCAAACAGAGCATCCCACTGTTCCAGATTCTGAGGCTGATTTTAAAGTTATTCCCACTTTTATTACTGAAAATAATGTGATAAAAAGTCTTACAGGTTCATATGCCAAATTACCTAGTCCTGAGCCCTGAAATGCATCAAAGACATTCTGGGTCATCTTCAGCATGTCATATACTTATAAATAACCCAATAAATGCCTGTCAGTTAAGCCCTAAAGGGGCCGGGGATTTAGCTCAGTGGTTCCACCGCCCACCTTGAAAGCACAAGGTCCTGAGTTCAATCCCTGGTACCAAAAAAAAAAAAAAAAAGTTAAGCCCTAAAGGAAAAGAAGAAATGGTGGACATAATCATTCCAGATACTGATGAAAAAACAAGTGTATCAGAAACTGTGCCAAAGTTACCACTTGATTTAGCAGGAGTTTGTTCAAGTAAGACTTATGTCAGCAAAAATGCTAGTGAAACCATAGAAGATGTGGCTGTAGATAAATCAACTCAGGTGTGTCAGTCTTTGGGAAATCAGTTAGAAAATAAAGTTAGACATGGACTTGCTGCTGTGGAAGGCCAGTTAATATCTGATGCCCGAGGAACACACAAAATGAATAATACTCCTTGTCCTACAAGGCCCAAATTGCAGGATCCATATGTCACTCCCAGTCAGTGCATAGCAAGTAAAAACTTGGGAACCCTGAGTGGATTCAGGTCAGGCAGTGTGTTAGAGAAAAACTCCTGCAATTCGCAGATGGAACTGAATAAGTCTTACAGTGTAAAAAATCCATCTCCTTTACTGATGCAAAACCAGAACCCTGGACAGCAGATGGACACACCTATGGTGTCCTGTGGAAATGAACAGCTTTTGGATAACAGCTTGGAAAAAGTTAAGCAGAGACTGTGTGTGGATTTAGATATGGATGGTGTGCAGAAGGAAAACTGTCCTTATGTCATAACCACCGGCATGGCTGAATAGGAGAGACAGTATTTGCCAGAAAAAAAGATACCCTAAGGGATCGCTCTACATTTACAAGAATAAAATATTAGAAACTAGCACAAAAGAAGGTGAGGAGCTACTAAAAAGCAAGATGTTAGCTTTTGAAGAAATATGGAAGAGACTAGAAGAACAGCACGCCCAGCAGCTATCCCTACTCATAGCTAAGGAGGAAAGGGAACAGGAAAGACTACAGAAGGAAACAGAAGAACAGGAGAAAATATTAAAAGAGAAGAAGGTGTTTACGACAGAAATTTCTGAATTGAACATTAACCATATGGTAGAATTAGAATGTAGAAAAATAAGTGACTCTGGTTTGTTTGAAACAGTGCTGTCTCAAATGGACTCATTCTGCACTTCAAATTCCCATAGTTCTGGTTTCACAGATTTCACCCTACAATATAGTTGTGGATCGGCAAATGAAGCACCCTTTTACCTCTGGGGATCATCAACTGGTGGCACTACCAAACTCTCAGTACCAAGGCCCTTTGGAAGGGGCCAACCTCGATGGTCTCAGGTTTTTAATCCGGAAGTACAAGTGAAATTTAACAAAATAACTGCCATGGCAAAGGGATTTCTTACTCGTGGGCTTCTGCAGACAGACAAGCTGAAGCAGCTTCAACAAACTGTAAAAGAAACTATGGAATTCATAAGAAGCTTTCAGTCAGAAGTGCCATGAAAAAGAGGCATTGTCTCAGCACAAAACGTGTCCCTTCAGGAGAGAGTGTTGATACAGTTGCGTGCTGCCCTGTATGGTTTTCATGACATATTCTTTGTCATGGATGCAGCTGAAAGAATATCTCTTCTGCAGCATGATCAAGAAGTTTGCAAAGAGAAAATGCTCAGGCAAATGGATAAAATGAAAAGTCCACGTGTGGCTCTTTCAGCTGCAACACAGAGGTCTCTCGATAGGAAGAAATACATGAAAGGTGCTGAAATGGGAATGCCAAATAAGAAAGTTCTGGTTAAACAAAGTCCTTCTGAAACAAGAGTCCTGCAGCCAAACCAAGGACAGAATGCACCTGTTCATAGGATACTTAATAGACAAGGGAGTATATGCAGGAAAAATCCAAAGAATTCAGCCAAATGCTGTGACAATTTAGGAAGACAACATTCATTAGGATGGGGGTGGGGGAGGATTATTATCCATATAATTTTCCAACCTAATAGACTTTTAGACCTTTTTTTTTTTTTGGCACTGGGAATCGATCTCAGGAGCTTGCACTTTTAAGGCAGGCGGCGGAACCAGAGAGCTAAATCCCCAGCCCAATAGACTTTTAATTTAACCCTGGACTGTTTACACAGGCAAAGTGACCAAATCAAAGGGCGGAGCAATTCTCTGCATAATCTGCTCAGTCTGGTTAGTTCCTGTCCCACTCCCCCATTTTCCCCTATCAGGTTTGGATGAAGACAAATTAATGTTCATCTCTGTGCTTAACCTAGTCAAACATAAGTATTTTACATGCCCAGATGTCTAGAGACTTTTTGTAAACTTAAATGACATCTGGCTTAAGTTTTACAAAATATTGGAAAGATATGACAAAATTCTAAACAAGTTCTAAAACATGAATTTTATTCATCTCTGCGTATTGATTGCTGGATTTGAAAAACACATTAGATATGGTCCTGTTCAAAGGGAAATCATTGCAGACCTGCTTCCCCAGTTTTATAAATTTAAATACCATGCTGAAAACACAATAACCACAAGATAAACCCTTGGATTGTGGTCCACTTCAAATCTAGGCAAAGGTAGCTGTGGTTCACTATTTTGGTCAGAAGCACACATTCCTGTCAGCGCCGTCTTACAGAAATGCCAGGTTTCATGTACATTACTGAGTACTGTTAGAAACAGTCATTCTAGATGACAGTTTGTGGAGGGGAACAGATCTGGAAAAGACAGTATAATCTTCCTGTATATAGCATCCAAGAATGCATTGTTACATCCATTTCTGTAAAGTAGGAATAACTTGTTGAATGCAGTTATATTTTCTGTTTAGTTGTATATTTCATTTCTTCACAGTCTACCTTCTCTAGCACGCTTGACTTAGAGAAAAAAGGGCTATCTGGAATACTAAATCCAGATTTCAAAGAGGATAGTAATATTGCCTAGTTAGCAATACAGCATTACTTCAAGGCACAGATATTTAAGGTTTTCCATCAGTAACATATTCAGTAAAAGTATCAGTTATCAAATGTAACCAACAGAACATGTCACTGTTAATTTATCATACAATTTCTAAAACGGGCTCTGTGCTTCTCACATAAAATTGGGCCTGTGTATATTCAATCTTTGTAACAAATTTTAGAGATACTGGTATTTTGAAAGTGCAGCTTATATATATTCTTACTACTCTTTTGAGAATATGGAGATAAAGATTATTTTCTCTGATTTTAAGTTCCACTTAAGATTGAACATTTACATGCAGCTGTAAATGGAAAATAATAACCTACTCTGGATATAAATTGATTTTTATTGAGATGTATCACTTATTGAATGAGTGAACCATAAAATTAAGAGTCAAAAAAGTCTTAAGTTACCAATTTTTTATTTACAGGCCACGTATCTAAAATCATCCTTTTAATGATAAACTGTGCTTTATCATTCAGAAAACTCAGGATACAGCTTATTCCCATCATTGTGGGTCTCTCTAGTAAGAAGAATAGATGCTAACAGTTTTGTGTGTACAAATGCAAATTAAATAAAACAAATAGTATGTTTTGGAAAAAGGTAAAACTAGTTTTTAGATTAAGAATGAGAAATTTGAGTGTGTTTAAGGGTAAAAGCATGTGTTTTCCCCATTTTTTAATGTTCACAAGTTTTTCTCATAAAAGTTTCAGACTATTTTGTTTTTGGTGAAGTTTTATTTATATACATTACTTTTATTCTTATTTATACTTTGCGTGGAATGACCACTAATGTAAATTGTATTTATTTTCACTAGTTTTGCTTCTAGGCAAATGGCAAAATAAACTTTTTTAAAAGTCCCACAAAAAAAAAAATTGTTAGAGGTTATGTCTCTTCAACATCCATTCTCTCTCAACACTCGCCAAAAAGGGGCGTGCCGAGCCCTGTCCAGGAGTGCTCACTTACTTTCTCTACACATGGCAGTGGTCACTCAGGTAACACTGTGAGAAAAGTGCCGATGCTCAAGCAATCTAAACTCTAATCCTTTGGTTAAAAACTAGCCAGGTATAATCCAGAATAGTTTTCATGTGTTCATTCATTTATACAAAAAGCCAACACTGGTGGTCCCCGATTTATGATGATTTGGTGTAGGACTTTTTAACTTTATGATGGTGCAAAAGCAACAAATTCACTAGAAATCATAGTCAAATTGTGTTTTTTCTTTTCCCAGAGCACCAAAATGAGGAACAATGTTATCTCATGAGGCTCAGTTGTAGGCTATTGTGAATGTTCTGGGTATGTTTAAGGTAGGTGAGGTCAAGCTATGATGTTTGATAGGCAAGTTGTATTAAATGTATTTTTTACTTGTAATATTTTCAATGTAGGATGGGCTTACCCCACCATAAAGTGAGGGACATCTAAGTGAGTTATTAAGATTGAGCTGCTATAACAAAGAGTCTCCAACATATATTGGCTTATAGAAATAAGAAGGTTCTCTCTCACAGAATATGTTCCAATATGAGCTGGAGAGACTTACATAGGTCATGAGCACAGGTTCTTTCCAATTGTTGGCACACCATCCCCAAGGATGCTGTCCTCACAAACACTATTAAGACTAGGTTGCCATAATGTCGACGTTACAAGCCATGGCAAGGGAGAAATTCAAATCTGGGAACTGATGCTTGTTTTTAAATTGAAAATATCACAAAGATACACATACCACTTCAGCCATTTACCATTTGCCAAAATTTGCCACATGTCCACAGCTAGCTGGAAAGAAAGCTGGAGAAGGTATAGCTATTTCTCAAAGCCTACACTATAATCACCCAAAAAGCTGAATATAGCCCCACCACCACACACACACACAGAGAAAATGCTCACCACTTTCCTAAAAGAAACAGCTGAGGGTCCTGTCTAGTTACTACACCCTACTTACCATCCAAGATGTCCAGGCAATACACTGACCGTCTCCTTCACCAGATCTGGATGTGTCCCAATAGATAAGTTACCCACTGATGGCAATCCTCTGTCCATCCCTTGCCTTTCAAAGTCCTGTGCTCAACATTCTCCATAAACAGTGGTAGATAAGAGAAGATATGCATGAGAGCATTTCCCTCTGAGAAAAGAGAAGAAACACAGTACATACACTACAGCTACTGGTCTCCAGCAATGATGGACTCTTGCTATGCAGTAATTATAAAGGGCATTTTCCCGACAGTGGAAGACTTTCCTTGTTCAGACTGTGGTTCTGATTTCATGGAGGGATCCCCTTATCCAGGTCCCCTGAATCTATGGCCTTGCCTCTTCATGGTTCTTCCTTGTTCATTGTCCTTCATAGCCACATCTGAGCTTGAAGATATTCCTTCTTCACTTGGCTTTTGGAAATGTTTGATTCTTTGAGTGCAATTCTTATGAGTGCAATTTTATGAGCCTGAGGATTATATTAGGATTAAGTAATGACAAATCTGTGGTTTGTTTAGCAATAATATTTACCCAAATACATGATAGGTTTCTGGTCTATTTGATTATGGCAGGATTTAATGTGTTGATAACCACCAAGAGTTCTTTACATGTGCATATTCAAGCTTGCTTTATTCCCGGGCATCAGACAGAGTTTAGCCATCACCCTCTCCCCACTTTGAAGACAATTTCCTTGAGGCCATCTGACACAATAGGCTTAATCTTATCTTTGTTGCTGGATCTAACTTCTCAGTTCAGCTGAGAATTTTAATGGGAGGTCATTGAAGAACACTTACAACATCAAATCTCCTGCTTTTGTGGGATTCGGAGCAGTTGATTTTTCCAACCACATGGGTTCTCTACTCTTCCAGCTGTTCTTGCAATCTGGTTACTTTTCATGTGAACTCGTTTCTTTCTTCTAATAACTGCCAAAAAGCACTGCAGAGCAGCCAACATATAGATATTCTGGCTCTTTTCCACTGCTTTATTTAGGGCAATGATTAGACATGTGGTCTTCTTCCTAACCAATTACAGAAGACAGTTGTACTAAATGTTGCCTTGACATTACACAGTTCATCAGCTTTCCAGTCTCTGCAGTGTCTACTTTTTCACTGCTCCCTACCCCACAAATGAGACAAGGCCACATATTTAAGGTTTTTATAATGACAGGTATCAATATCAGTGTTATCTAAAACAATAATTATGTTACTAAAACAAATACATTTCAAGCCAGTCATGGTGACATACACTCGTAATGCCAGTACTCTGGAGGCTGGGGCCAAAGAATCTCAAATTCAAGACCAATATGGACAATTTATCAACTTACCAAGACTCCGTATCAAAATAAAATAATAATGATAATAATAATAAGGATTGGGGTGTGGCTTGATGTAAAGGCCCTGGTTTCAATCCCCAGAGCCAATCAATCAATCATTCAATAAGTGGCTTCAAAAATACTGGCTTCTATTTGCTCTTATAACACCTGAGTGGATCTAGGCTGTTAGGGTAGCTCTTCTCCATTATTTAGGAATCCTGTATTCTTTTTATCTCTTTTTCATTACTCTAGGGCACTGTCCTTACATTGTGAAGTTGGCTCAACTTTAAATCAGTACAGCAAACTATGGGAGAAAAACAAAATCTAGGAATAGTAGCTTCTCTTTTCTGTAGGAAGTAGAAATTGCATATATCAATTTTTTTTAATGTGCCATTGACTCAAATTTCATCACTTGGCCTCTGGCTGTGTTGTAATAGTAAAAGGAGAGGAGGGAGAAACACCAGGGGGCATCATTTGGCCACTGATACCATGGAAAGAGTTAAGAATGCTGACTAAACTTGTTACTTCTAGGCAGGGAGGCTAAGCACATTTGATTGTAGGGGAAGACATTACTAACTACTAGCATCCCCTCAAATTATTTGTTCCACATAAGGCCTGCCAGTGAAGACCACAGGGAACCAATTTAAACTAGCCAAAATCAGGCCCAGCATGGTGGCACACACCTGTAATCACAGTATTTGGGAGGCTGAGGCAGGAGGGCCACACGAGTTTGAGGCCAGCTTGGTCTACATAGAGACCTTGTTTCAAAAACCAAAACCAGGGCCGGAGATTTAGCTCAGTGGTGCCACCGCCTGCCTCA